TCGTTTGTAATTCACTTTAAAATGGCTGGCAAGCTTAAAAGTGAGAGTTTTGTGGTGCTGAGAAGAAAAAGAGACACCCATTTTAGATTTTCTATGTATTATTTGAGCTTTTTCGACTTACGACCTGGATTTGGATCCCTAACCCCGCCGTGCAGGGGAGGAGGCTGTACAGTATTTCAAGTTAATTTCTTAGCTACTTTACAACTCTAAAATTTAGTAATGGACTGCTAGTGTGTAGGGTTTTATGTTCATGGTGTACTCATGTACTGTACTAATAACCTGGCAAACTTCATGTACTGTACTTAAGTCAATTAGAAAAATAAGAATGTCTGCTACTGCCAGTCAGTTGCTTACCAGTTGTGTGAATGCAGCACACTGTTGCCTCACTCACTTCACTACCTCATAAATTCTCATTGAATATAGAATGTTAATCATACATTATATGATCTGTTATGCCATAACTTAGCAACTTGATTTACGTTAAACATGAATATAATAATGAGGGCGCACATGGCACAACAAAAAACAAATTGGCAACTCAGCACAACTTAGTCCTTTATATTTATCACTTAAAATTAATGTTACTTCAATACACGACAAACAATGTTAAATACAAAAGTTACAAACACAAATAAGGACTTGTGCGTCATGGGTTCAACCACAGCCCTCTTACTTTATCACAACAGATCAGGGAAGGTTTCGAATTATACACGTCACAAAAGATTTAAATAAAATTTAATAACAAAAGTTTACCATGGTAAATGTGCAGGTTACACAATGAATGGATAAATTATATCAAGAGACTAGAGAATAAACATGATCCTTAATAAATAACTCATATGTGCACAGTAAATGCAGTGGTCCCTCGTTTAACGAACTTGATTCGTTCCAGAGGTCGCGTTCGTTGACCGAAAAGTTCGTTAACCGAAACCATTGTTTCAATGGGATATTGGGTAATTGGTTCCAGCTCACAGAAAAGTATATACAAAGTAAAGCCAAAAATGTATAAAGTAAGAAACACTCCTAAAATTCCCCTAAATCGCCCTTAAATCACTATACAGTATACAGTGAACCCTCACTTTACGCAGTCAATTGAACCCACGGAGGCCACGTAAAGCGAGAAAGCGGCGTAAAAGTGAACAACATAACATATGGGACTTAATGAAATAGAGACCGGCTGACCTCAAACTCCACTTTTCGACACAATACCTATGTTCTAGTAAAAATAACATCTTAATTTTATGATGGTACATGCACACAATTAATACTTAAGAGAAATAGAGAAATACAGTTGCCAAGTTAATGTCCATTCAAATAATGGACTTAACTCCTCCCCTCTTCTCACCTCCTGGCTCTTCCCTCTCTGAAAATGTTTGGGGAAACCACTAGATTTTAGTACAGTTGTGCCCCATAACACAGTCAATTGAACCCACAGCCCACAGGGTACCGCGTTAAGTGAACAACAGAACATATGGGATTAATTCCAAAAGACTGGCCGTCCCCCAAACTCCACTTTTGAAGACACATAACTATGTTGTAGTAAAAATAACATCTTAATTTTATGATGGTACATGCACACAATTAATACTTAAGAGAAATGAAAATGCAATTACATCAAGTTAATGTCCATTCAAATAATGGACTCGACTCCTTCCTCTTCTCACACTGCACTGCTGGCTCTTCCCTCTTGAGAAAAATTTGGGGAAAACCACTAGATTTTAATAAATAATACCTCAAACTAAAGTTAGGATAATATAATTGACATTGCTGGATTCCTTGTAAGACCAGGAATATTTTGAATATAAATGTCATATATTTTGCAAAGATAACATATTTACTCAGAGTAAACAAATACTTAAAGTAGATCTAAAATTTTATGTCTAAAGCAAAGTCTATGATGTTCATATTCAAAATGATCATCAAATTATGAAATTCCAGCAATGTAAATTATATTCTGGCGGAGTAATTTGTATGAATTTTATGAGCTAAAACAAATATCTTCAGTTCATAAAAATATTCTTCACAACACTATCTGTCAATAAAAGTACCCCACCTTGCCTCCCCCTCTTCCCGCGGCCAGATGGTGGGTCCGTCCCCACCCCCCCCCACCTCCCACCAACCCTCCCTACCAGAGAAATGTGTGGGAGAAAACAGAAATATTTACCTTTTTTAGTAATAAATAATACATCAGACTAAAGTTAGGATAATATAATTGACATTGCTGGATTCCTCTCTCTCTCTCTCTCTCTCTCTCTCTCTCTCTCTCTCTCTCTCTCTCTCTCTCTCTCTCTCTCTCTCTCTCTCTCTCTCTCTCTCTCTCTCTCTCTCTCTCTCTCTCTCTCTCTCTCTCTCTCTCTCTCTCTCTCTCTCTCTCTCTCTCTCTCTCTCTCTCTCTCTCTCTCTCTCTCTCTCTCTCTCTCTCTCTCTCTCTCTCTCTCTCTCTCTCTCTCTCTCTCTCTCTCTCTCTCTCTCTCTCTCTCTCTCTCTCTCTCTCTCTCTCTCTCTCTCTCTCTCTCTCTCTCTCTCTCTCTCTCTCTCTCTCTCTCTCTCTCTCTCTCTCTCTCTCTCTCTCTCTCTCTCTCTCTCTCTCTCTCTCTCTCTCTCTCTCTCTCTCTCTCCTCTCTCTCTCTCTCTCTCTCTCTCTCTCTCTCTCTCTCTCTCTCTCTCTCTCTCTCTCTCTCTCTCTCTCTCTCTCTCTCTCTCTCTCTCTCTCTCTCTCTCTCTCTCTCTCTCTCTCCTCTCTCTCTCTCTCTCTCTCTCTCTCTCTCTCTCTCTCTCTCTCTCTCTCTCTCTCTCTCTCTCTCTCTCTCTCTCTCTCTCTCTCTCTCTCTCTCTCTCTCTCTCTCTCTCTCTCTCCTCTCTCTCTCTCTCTCTCTCTCTCTCTCTCTCTCTCTCCTCTCTCTCTCTCTCTCTCCTCTCTCTCTCTCTCTCTCTCTCTCTCTCTCTCTCTCTCTCTCTCTCTCTCTCTCTCTCTCTCTCTCTCTCTCTCTCTCCTCTCTCTCTCTCTCTCTCTCTCTCTCTCTCTCTCTCTCTCTCTCTCTCTCTCTCTCTCTCTCTCTCTCTCTCTCTCTCTCTCTCTCTCTCTCTCTCTCTCTCTCTCTCTCTCTCTCTCTCTCTCTCTCTCTCTCTCTCTCTCTCTCTCTCTCTCTCTCTCTCTCTCTCTCTCTCTCTCTCTCTCTCTCTCTCTCTCTCTCTCTCTCTCTCTCTCTCTCTCTCTCTCTCTCTCTCTCTCCTCTCTCTCTCTCTCTCTCTCTCTCTCTCTCTCTCTCTCTCTCTCTCTCTCTCTCTCTCTCTCTCTCTCTCTCTCTCTCTCTCTCTCTCCTCTCTCTCTCTCTCTCTCTCTCTCTCTCTCTCTCTCTCTCTCTCTCTCTCTCTCTCTCTCTCTCTCTCTCTCTCTCTCTCTCTCTCTCTCTCTCTCTCTCTCTCTCTCTCTCTCTCTCTCTCTCTCTCTGTGCTTGTCTATACAAGAGTACAACATTTACCCTTCAATATCTATGAGCAGTAAATAAGTGTTGCTTTCATATTCTTATGTAGAGTAATGGCGATATGTTTTCACATGTCTTGCTACATATGTGCAGTCTCACTTTTTTACCATTAATGGTTAGCTACTTATATTGTTCCATTAAATAACATTACAGGTACTTCAAACAACCATATTAATTTTTACATTAATTTACTGCAGCTAAAATCAGGGTCTTATTTTCTCAGTTTTATATGTAGAACCAATCAGTCACTGGTTTTGTAGCTTTAACATAAACAATGCGGCAGCCGTCTCATCTCGTCTCCTCTAATATTCACGATATTATTAATAAATTGTATTGTTAATTTTGCACACAAACATTAATTCAATAAAAGCAAATTCAAAAACATTAATTAAAATATATATGAACAGTAAATAAGTGTTGCTTTCATATTCTTATGTAAAGTAATGACGATATGTTTTTCACGTGTCACTTCCATATCCGATCTCTCTTTTTCTTTACCATTATCATTAGCTAATTCTATTGTTCCATTTATTTGCATTAAATAACATTACTTAAAACAACCATATTAATTTTACTACAGCTACAACCAAGGTCTTATTTTCTTCAGTTTTATATGTAGAACCAGTCAGTCACTGGTTTTGTAATCATGAAAACAATGCTGTGTCAGTTCCTCGTGTTGTTTAATATTCTACGTATTATTAATGAATTGTATTGCTCATTTTGCACACATAAACATTAATTCAATAAAAAGACATTCAGTAATAAACAATAATGAATCTTTTGTACATAAGAGAAATGTCGCTGTTTACTACGATTATGCACGTCATCTGCACGTAGCGGGCCGTTCAAACCTTCCCGAAATTCAAGTTTCACCCGTAAAATTTTATATATTTTTATTTTTGTGTTCCAATAAAATCGTTGTTAAACTGCGATTGACTACTATCGACATTTAACTCTTCAATATGTCTTAAAAGAGACCATGATGCAGAGAAAGTGGTGCTAGTGCTTCCAAGCATAAGCACAAGTCACTATCCAGGAAAGGGTGAATTTCCATGGTCGGCACGGTCAGGTCGAGGTTGCGGACTAGAGAGTACAACCTGTATTTTCCATACATAAATTGAGGTTCTGGCATAAAATATTTCACTCTACTGCAAATGCACCACTGTGCATTACCTTGCATAACATATCATATACCAGACTTGAGTCTCATGTAAACATTGTCTGAATAAGAGAGCTATGCCAACCTGATACATTACCCCTCTTGTTTATATGGCAACTCACATACCCAAATAAACATTTTAATGCTCTGGAGATGTATAGAAGGTGACACTAATCATTTGATTAATCCATAGTTGCTATTTGTGGTCTTTTCCCATAAACTAGCTGGCTGCACTCTACAAGTCGCCCAGGAAGGTTGTCAGGTTATTAAATATTTCTTAATAGTATGGTGTGGGCATCTCTCTAGTCAACAGTGAAGATCCGTTACTTATAAATTGTATTGTGTTCTTTTTTCAGGCTTGTGTCTCAGCAATAATAGTGTGTTTCGTGGTGTACACTGCTTCTGCCAATTATGGTTACCTAACATTTGGTTCACTGGTGAAGGGTGACGTGCTTCTGTCTTATGATGCAAGAAAGCCACAAGTTCTCACTGCAATCATTCTCTTGGCTATTAAATCATGGACGACCTACCCAATTCTCATGTTCTGTGTGAGGTAAGGTCTCTACTTTCAGTGATATCTTTATTCTGTAAGCTGTGAATTAGTAATTTTCCTTTAAGACTGGTTTCGATTTTACTATTAACCATTTAATGTAAAAATGGAAAATTCTGCAATTACTGTAGTCTGTTAGAATTACTGCAGATAAACAATATAGTTAGTAATTTAGTTTACAGTGATATCTGCGTTAGCCAGAATAATTGGTGCAGAGCTCTTCCCGGGGATGAGAGAATTCTGGGTAACGAGACGACTCTCAGACCCAGAAAATTCCCACATTCACGGATTTTTCTGGGTGCTGTACTGTACTGGGAAAAGTTTATGAGAGTCTAAATTATGTATCTGGCATGGGCAGACCCTATCACACATCTCTGGAATGCTTCCTGTTTCTGGGAAAAGTTTTTTGAGATTCTAAACAACATATCAGTACTAGGGAAAGATTTCCTCACAATACAAACACAGAGCTGTATTTATTTATGCAAACATCATTGTAAATACTGTTAGCAAAAAACATCACACAATATAAATTAACAAAATAAAATGTATTCAGTACAGTACTCTCCAGCAGATGCTGTTGCTTTAAACTTGTGTTGCAAGTAGGCCAATTGGTGATATGATGATACCGGATGGCCTGGTTTGTCCTGTACAATCTGCTGTTTCAGTTACTGTAGTGTTAGCTGTCACTGTCCTCTCCTCCATGAAGGACAGCGGCAAACCAAGAGTGAAACGTCTTAACACTGCTTTAGCACTGTATTCTTGGCCGATTGTGTCCTGGTTCAGTAATGTATGGTACACAAACACTGTTCACTGCTATGTGAGGCAGTATATGTACAGTGTTCACACAAACAATGTTAATTTACAGCAAAATTACACACTGTAATCACTGTTTATGTCTTAACCAGTGGCATACCGTGGTTGCACTGATGAGGCATGCAGGACACTCGCATATATCAGTTATCAAATCAAATACACTAGAATGTTGATTTAAAGCGACACCCACAATTAAGGACAGTGTTTTAATTTAAAGCGAATCTTTCCTATTTTGCGTGAGTTAATCTGGCCCATCATATTTTAAAATTCGCGCTTAATGTTTCTCTGGGCATGCTACACTGTCCTAAGGGCAAAGCTGTACTATACATGTACTCAAAATAATGTACTGAATGATTAATAAAATTTTTGTCTAGTGCAAACTATAGCATGTTTATATTCAAATTAATCAATATCTTATAAGAATTCAAGCAATGTAAATTATATTTTTCCTGGTCACTTCTATGAAATTTTATAAGAAAAAACAAAAACTCAACTAAACGACAAATAAACAAATAAATACTTCACTAGACCTTCGGCACTAACTGTCAAACGTATCACCTCACCTCCCCCGCCTCCATGCTCCCTCCCTCCCTCCCTCTCCCCTTCTGCCCAGCCAGGGTTTTTAGGCTTACAGTTTTTATCTTAACGAAAAAAAATTCGATTAACGAAATCCTTATGAAAATCACGTTTTGTTTTGAACAACAGCTGATAAGCTGAGGAGGTACTCAGCCAATTCAGTAATCTCTTCTATGTTTACATTCGTGTCCAATGGAGTAAATATAAAGAAAATTGTGCTCTTTAATATTTGTGCATTTTTTTATACAGTATTAAAATTATTGGTCATTCTAAAGTTTAGCCATCGAAGCTGTCTACATAAATTTTTTCAACTATTATTTTTGGCTCAATATATGTAACTTTATTCATTTATTGAAACTCATTTACATGCACACACTGTCCTAAGGACAAAGCTGAACTGTACATGTAATCAGAATAATGTACAAAATGATTACTAAAATTTTTGTCTAGTGCAAACTATAGCATGTTTACATTCAAATTAATCACTATCTTATAAGAATTCCAGCAATGGAAATTATATTCTCCCCGGTCACGTCTATGAAATTGTATAAGCAAAAATTCAAATACTCAATCTAAAGGACATAAATAAACAAATTAATACTCCACCGGACCTTCGGCGCTAACTGTCAAACATGGCACTGTCACCCCTCCCTCCCTCCCTCCCTCCCTCCTCCTCCTCCCAGCGAAGGTTTCTGGTTATACAATAGGCTTTAATCTTATATAATATCTCAAACTAAAGTTAGGAGAATATAATTTGCATTGCTGGAATCCTTGCAAGACAGCGAATAATTTGAATATAAACGTCATATATTTTGCACAAAAGATAAAATTTTTGCTCTCTCTAATAAAAATTCTAAAATTAGATCTAAAATTTGTATGTCTAATGCAAATTTTAGCTTGTTTATATTCAAATTAATCACTAAATTACAAGAATTCCAGCAATGTAAATTATATTCTGCCCGGCATTTTCTATGGAATTTTATGAGCTAAAAAACAAGCACTTAACAAATTAAATACTCACCAGACGCCATGATCTGTCAAGTACACCTCACCTCCACTCTTCCCATGCTCCCTCCCTCCCTCCCCCTCCCTACCTCCCACCTTCCCAGACAAAAGTTTGCAGTGTTTTCAGTAAGCTTCTTTACAGTTTTTATCTTATATAATATCACAGACTAATGTTAGAATATAATTTGTATTGCTGGAATCCTTGCAAGACAGCGAATAATTTGAATATAAACATCATATATTTTCCACAAAAGATAATAATTAATCACCTGTATCACATTACAGTAGTAATTTATGAGTAAGAGTATATATATATATATATATATATATATATATATATATATATATATATATATATATATATATATATATATATATATATATATATATATATATATATATATATATATATATATATATATACTTTATTTTTAGTCCATATATATGGTACCTTGTGTTTCATACCAGCTGGATTCGGTAAAATGCTACTGACATCCACATAAGCGGCATGGGCAGTTCCCAGTGGGAGGTTCACGGTGCCATCAGCTCGATGAACAGGCTTTGTGTGAAATATAATATGGTCTAGAACTGCTTTTAGTGTCCTTGTGGCATGGTCGGTAACGTCCCCTGGTCTCACGCAATAGGTCGAGGATTCGAGTCCTGGCTGGTGAGGTTGTTGATTATATATACAGTATTACTCCGCTTTACACGGTTTCACTTTCCGCTATTTCTCATTTACGCCGTACCTTGCCAGAACCGGACTTTCACTTTCCGTGGTGCATCTACTCATATACGCGTGCAGTATAATTTTTTTTTTTTAGCTCATAAAAATTCAAATTGCCCGGCCAGAATATAATTTACAGTAGTAACGATTCTTGCGCAGTCAATTGAACCCACAGTGCATGAAAAGTGAAACTTCGTAAGTGAACAACAGAACATATGGGATTAATTCCAATAGGACTGGCCCGACCCCCAAACTCCACTTTCCGACACAATACCTATGTTGTAGTAAAAATAACATCTAAATTTTATGATGGTATGCTCACAATTAATATTTAAGAAATACAGTCGCCAAGTTAATGTCCTCAAATAATGGACTCAATCCCCCCTCTTCCCAGCTCACTAGCTCCTACCTCTCTGATTAATGTTTCGGTGAAAACTCTAGATTTTAACATTTAGTAATAAATAATACCTCAGACTAAAGTTAGATAATATAATTGACATTTCTGGATTCCTTGCAGGTCAGGGAATATTTGAATGTAAACTTCATATATTTTGCACAAAAGATAAAATATTTGCTTTGTAAACCAAATTATTACATTAGATCTAAAATTTGTATGTCTAATGCAAAATCCATGATGTTTATATTCAAAGATCATCATATTGTAAGAATTCCAGCAATGTAAATTATATTCTGGTCGAGTAATTTGTTAAATTTTATGAGCTAAAACAAATATCTTCAGTTAATAAAAAAAAACATTATTCTTCACGACACTATCTGTCAATCAAAGTACCCCACCTTGCGTCCCCCCTCCTCACACTCGCCAGCTGGGTCGGTCTCGTCCCCAACCTCCCCCCACCTTCCCTCCCTACCAGATAAATGTGTGGGTGAAACTCTAGATTTTAACATTTAGTAATAAATAATACCTCAGACTAAAGTTAGGATAATATAATTGACATTTCTGGATTCCTTGCAGGTCAGGGAATATTTTGAATGTAAACTTCATATATTTTGCACAAAAGATAAAATATTTGCTTTGTAAACCAAATTATTACTTTAGATCTAAAATTTGTATGTCTAATGCAAAATCCATGATGTTTATATTCAAAATGATCATCATATTGAGAATTCCAGCAATGTAAATTATATTCTGGTCGAGTAATTTGTATGAATTTTATGAGCTAAATAAAAAAAATATATATATTTCCAGCGTATATAAAACACCATGAAAGTGAAAGCTCTGGTTCTGGCAAGTACGCTTAAATGAGAAATCGCGGAAAGTGAAACGTGTAAAGCTGGTAATACTGTACATTGCTGGAATTCTTACAATTTGATGATCATATTGAATATAAACATCATGGATTTTGCATTAGACATACAAATTTTAGATCTAATGTAATAACTTGGTTTACACAAAGCAAATAATTATTATAAGCAGTTAAATCTGTTTTTCACCCAACATTCAGAGAGGTAGGAGCTAGTGAGCTGGAAGAGGGGGGCAGGTGAGTCCATTATTTGAATGGCCATGCGTGGCAACCTGATTTCTCTTAAATATTAATTGTGTGAGCATACCATCATAAAATTTTGATGTTATTTTACTACAACATAGGTATTATGTCGGAAAAAGTGGAGTTTGGGGTAGGGCCAGTCTCTATTGGAATTAATCCCATATGTTCTGTTGTTCACTACTCGGTTTTCATTTTCACTTTCGCTGGTACCCTGTGGGTTCAATTGACCGCGTTCAATTCACGTAAATGAATACTGTGTGTGTGTGTGTGTGTGTGTGTGTGTGTGTGTGTGTGTGTGTATATATATATATATATATATATATATATATATATATATATATATATATATATATATATATATATATATATATATATATATA